TGTAAATCTCTATACTGATTGACCTTTTACTTGATTTCTTATTTCCTGAAGTCTCACGATCTGATTATGATAGATTTTTCAATGTCTCTTGAAGTTATCATTATTTGCTTTCTTTCTTTTTTGGCTTTATTATTAGATACATACTAATTTAGAATTCTGTCTTCCCTGGTGAATTTTGGACCCTTTATAACCATGCAGGGACTCTATCTCTATGAATGTTGTTTGTTGCCTTAGTTTTATTATTTTGTTACTATAGCAAGATTTTGGTTAGTCTTTATCTGAATATCTTAGATCTGTCTTTGGTCTTATATTTTGAATTTGCAGGAGACACACTCAAAAGACCAAAGAGAAACTATCTTTTTAATTGCATTGTTTTGTACATTTATATTTATTGTGATTACAAATATAAGTTGGATTTATTTCTAGGTCCTTGTCAGAAATTATGTCTTGGGTTTTTTTGGGGGGGAGGTGTTTATTTTTCCCCCTCTATTTGTTGGGTTTTTCTTTTTTTAAATCTTCACTAGGAGATGTTTTTATTGATTCTCAGAGAAACATGGATGTGAGATAGAAACATTCAATGGTTGCCTCTTGTACATACCCTGACAGGGATCGAACCCGCAACCTAAATATGTGCCCTGACTGGGAATAATCAAACTGCAGCCTTCTGGTGTATGAGATGAAGCTGCACCAACTGAGCCACTTGGTCAGGTCTTTATTTCAGTGGGTTTTATTTGGTTTACAAATCTTCTTGTTTGTTCTCTGTGTAATCTTTTGCTCATTCTTCGTATTTTCCATGCTTCTATTCCTTTACAAGTTACTTTTTCCTTTAGAGTCCTTGTGAGTAATTCCACTGTTGTATACACTGTGTTGTTTTTCCCTCATGGTGCCACTTTCCCTCGAGTTTAAACTTATTTTCCTTGGGAAATAGGAATTATTTGAAGCATGGATTGAAATTGAGGTCCTGAGGAGAGTTTGCTCTGCCAGACACTGCAGGAAGAGCTACCAACCTGAAACCACTTGACCAGCTTGAAGGTTCTGTGATTTCAGATCACAAACGTGGAGGGCTGGCCTGTCTGAATTTGAGGGAGCTAGTGATTTATCTCCCTCCACCCAGCACCACAGTGGAGGCAGGCAAATTTCCTACCTGCTCACTTTTCTGTGGTGGCCCTTCTGGACTTCAGTGAGCCTCAGGCTTTAGGTCCAGTCCCCCCGCTGCTGCTGTTTCATTGTCTCCGGTTCAACACAAGTCTCAGGGCAAAGTGGGATTTGGTACTGTCTTACCTCACAGGTTTCCTATTTTCACCTCATTTTGGGAGTTTTGCGATGACTTACTTTCATGTCAATTCAGTGATATATTTTAAGATATTGTGTATTATTTAACATTAATTTACAATGTTGCTTATATTTTATCCAGCCTTTGGTTTTATAAGCTGGGGGTTATCAAGGGTATCTAGACTGCCTTTCAATTGGAAATGACATCCAAATTAAAATTTGCTTTATTGTGCTCTTGATGTAAGTAGGAAACATGGTAGTGTATGGTCTATACCAGCCGTGGGCAAACTACGGCCTGCGGGCCGGATCCGGCCCGTTTGAAATGAATGTAATGATGTTTACTTTGAATTTATATTAGTTCACACAAACACTCCATCCATGCTTTTGTTCCGGCCCTCCGGTCCAGTTTAAGAACCCACTGTGGCCCTCGAGTCAAAAAGTTTGCCCACCCCTGGTCTATACAGAATTCCAGGGTGCCAAGCTCTCTGCTTTGCACTGTTCTACAAGATAGCACTTTTGTGAGACTGCTACTTGCAAGGTTAGAAATGTGCAGAAACCATTCTTTAGTTATACTCTTCCTCTAAAAGAATGGCTCTGCATTTCCTTTAATGGCTGCTGGCCCAAATATTACTCCTTTGTGTTCTTTGATTAGTCATTGCTTTGGTCTGAAAAAAGGATTTGGATCTGATTTCTTGTAAACATAGGATTGGGGATTATCTATGCATGAATAGGCCTCTTGGCATACCTGTCCTGGCTGGAGGCACTGTCTGTTATGACTTATCTTTTGCCCAGCAACTTGTTTTTACATCAATTATCCGGTGTTTAAGGTTTGAAAATATCTTTCATTCACATGTACTCTGAAATTGAATTTTGGAAAACAGGTGCAAAAGACACAAAATTGTTACTGTTTGTTTTAGAGGACGAAAATGACCTAAATTATACCTTAGAGCAGCGGTTCTCAACCTGTGGGTCGCGACCCCTTTGGCGGTCAAACGACCCTTTCACAGGGGCCGCCTAAGACCATCCTGCATCTCAGATATTTACATTACGATTCATAACAGTAGCAACATTACAGTTATGAAGTAGCAACGAAGATAATTTTATGGTTGGGTCCCAACATGAGGAACTGTATTTAAAGGGCCAGAGGTTGAGAACCACTGCCTTAGAGGCAAAAGTTTACGCTGTAGTGTCAGAACTTTTTAATCTTAGGTATTTTTGTGGAAGATGGAAAAATTACTTATCAAACTTATAACTTGCACCCCCAGAACTAATCCATGAACATTGGGTTACTATAGACAGAGCCAGCACATATCTGACTTTTTTGGGGGCACACTTGCTGGCATTAACCTTTGCATAGGAGTTCTTATAATACATTGCCTTATTTATTTAATATGCAGTGCAAAAGAAAACTTTCTGGAAGCACGGTTAGGGAAACCTGTATGTACTATTGCACAAGTTTACATTTTGAAAGGTGATGGCCAGAAGCCAGAGAAATTAATCCATCCAATGTCAGCTGTGGCGCATGATTTGAAGGGATTCTGCCTTACTGTTTTAAAATCCTTAAAATCAGGTATAAATAAAAAGTCTTGAAATAAATATCTAAGGGACTATAGCTTCTTCATTAGCTCCTATCTGCCCCTTCTCTGCCTCATAATAATAGAGATGCTTTACTCCAGAGAGAATTTTACCTTCCTAGTGTCATATAATTGGGTATGAGGACGTTTTAAGCTATTTGTATTTCTCTTCCTCCTACTGTGTAGTATCCAGTATTTTCCTTTCTTTAAAAAAAAAAAAAAAAAAGCCTTATTGCCTGTTTTCTGGATGGCCTTGATGTGTTAAAGGAATACTGGTTACCTTTAATAATGCTAACTGAACACAGTTATGAGGGTCCAACTAAAAGGATTTCCTACAGCAGTAGCAATTAGGCATGAAACATGGGGGGAAAAAATACCTTCTACCATTTGCTAAGAATGAAATCTTGCAGTGCAAGATTTTTTTTAAAAATCTCTTATGGAAAGTTATTTTATCAACAGTCCCAAACAAGAGAATATTTGTTGCTTTATGTGATAAAATATACTTTTCAGCTGCTCATATAAATGATACTAAGTTAAGAGCTACACCAAAAGCTAGTCTATTTTAAGTGCATATTTTTGGTGCCCCTGAATTAGATCATTTATATCTTAACTTTTATATATATTCTATCTATGACTTAGTCTCTGAGCCCATTTCTCTCTTGGATATTTATAAAAGCAGGATGTATAAACTTACATTTTTTAAAAACACACACTTGTAGGTTAATGTAGGAACTTATATACTTACGACATTCCAGAGGGGACAAAAACATATTCAGTTCAGTGCAACATAAGCCAAGAAAGACTCCATCACTACCTCTTACATGTGTCAAAGGAGATTATGTACCTGGCACATGCAGAATTCTCATTCTCTCAGAGTATGAATGTCACATAACCCAAAGTGACCTGGTTTTACCTACTTTAAAGCTTTTAGTCAGGACTACCAGTGAATTACTAAATTTAGAAATTTGTTTTGGTATATATTAAAATTTTAAAGTTGTCTAATTTTTCTTTATCTAGATGCTTAAACATAACAGTCTTTAAACTACCAAAGACCAAATGCTTTTTATCAATTATACTAGAGGCCTGGTGCACAACATTGTGCACTGGTGGCTGTCACTCAGCCCGGCTTGTGCCCTCTCACAAACCGGGACCCCTCAGGGGAAGTCTGCCTGCCAGCTTAGGCATGCTCCCCCTCAGCTTCTGGCTGAATGGCACTCCCCCTGTGGGAGGGCACTGACCACCAGGGGGCAGCTCCTAAGTTGAGCGTCTGCCCCCTGGTGGTCAGTGCATATCATAGCGACCAGTCGTTCTGCTGTTCAATCAATTTTCGTATTAGGCTTTTATTATATAAGATAGTGACATACTACCTGGATCAAATAGAAGATATTTCAAAAATACACTTATATGTAAGTATCAAAAGCCTAAAAATTTTGCCTGTTAACCCTGCAATTCTACTTCTAAGAAATTATTTTAAGAAAACAGTCATGGATGTACACAAGATTCAGTGAAGTATTGTTTATACCTGGAAAAGATGTATACAGTCAAAATGTCCTATAGAGGATTAAATAAATTATGCTTCAGTCACACGATAGAATAGAGGAATAAAATTAGGAGACTAATGACCTGGAAAATATGTTTGCAATATATTCCGTGAAAAAAAGCAGATTATGAAACAGTATGCAAGCAAGTAAGAACCTACTTTTATAAAAATATACATATTTAGCAAAGTAAAAGGACAAATGATATTTACCAAAATATTAACACTGGTCATTTCAACATAGTAGTAGAATGATGGTTGTTTCACCACTCCTCCCCTTTTTGCTTATTTGTTCTCTGTGATGACTATATTTTAAAGGGGAGGGGAAGTTATTAACCTCAGATTAGTCCAAATATGCCCCCAAAGGCGCCTTCTGGCAAAGTAAATGCTTCTGTTCAGCCTATATGTGGGAAACTGCTTATACCTTATAAATATGAGCATCCTTCCAAGATCACATTCTCTCAAACACTCGCCCTTTTAGGCAAAATATACAATAGCAATTATTGATTTTTTTTAAAAACCACACTCAAGTTAATTATCACCTAAAAGATGAAAAAATACAAATCCTAATTTCAAAAACAGAACAACCCAAATACATGCTACTAAATTATGCAAAGTTACATTATATAAGTTTAGTTTATTGCAAAGATCAAGACAGCACATTAGAAGTTGGCGGCTTCTCTTTCACCCCATTCATAGCACTCACTCAATTCTTCATGTCATTCACTCACCCATGCAAAAAAATGTCAGTATACAGACTGATGTCTGATGCTTCTTGGTTCCCATAGTATAACCGGAAACTTGACATTTCAATTAAAAAAGTAAAATGAGGACATTTACCATCAGACTATAAAGTCCCTCTTCTGGAAGAGGATAGTAAGATATGTTTTGGAAAAATCTTATACAAAATGAAAGGGGCACCATTTCAAGAGCACTAGGACTACATTAAACTTAAATGAATTCCAACACTTATAATAAATAAATGTAGTCTTAACAAAGCTCCAATAAACTAAAATTATCTTAACAGGCACAATGAACAGTGTTAACACTGTTAATGGGCACCAAATTTAATAGGGCAGACAATATTTGCCTCTGCATTCACACTTAATTTTTCAGTTACATTTTTTAAAAATGGTGCTGCTTATGCTATGAAGGTTTTACAAAAAATTAATTTTAATAAATATGGCAAATGTTAAAAATCTAGCTAGGTTATCATGCAAGATAGTATATAACCAAGACAAACTCAAACTTATAATAAAGGCAACTTGCATTCAAAATGAACTCTACCCTTGTATTTTATTAAAAGGGCAAACATCATGAATTAACCCAGCTGCTTACTTGAATTACAAAAGTAACATGATTCAATATGAAAATAAGAAACTGTCTACAAATCTCTGACAGTAATAAATTGCAATATACAATGCATACAGGAGTCATACAGAGCAACAAACTCTTGTACAAAACAAAAATATTTTAATACCTTTAAAATCCAAATTTTTCTTTAAAATCATTCATGAAAAAGATCCTCAAGTCAGAATTAACACCTCAATTAGTCAAGCATCAGGAAGCTACATTACAGCTATTTAATATACAGAGAGACAACTTTTCCCAGTCCTTTCCTTCTAATGTCTCTGCTTCGGAATCGTACAGACTTGCTTCTCCTACTCCACTCCATCATTTCTTCAGATCATGAAAACTGAATTTGTTGAACACCAGAAATCTAAGATTAGAAAATTTAAGTTGACAAGAATGAAAAATTAGTTTAAAAATAACATGCATATTATAAACATTCAATGAATAAAAATAATAGACAAGAAAAACAACAATAGAGATGAAAAATAAGTCTTCTCACCCCAAATCTTCTCTCTCTCTACCCAAGGAAACTATTTTATTAATTTCTTGTTTATATTTCTAGAAATCTATGCAAATATGACCGTGTGTGTGTGTGTGTGTGTGCGCACACACACACACACACACACACACACACACATATAAAAGCCTAAGTGACCGTTAAGACCAGTCGATCAAACGACCGGTTGCTAAGATGTGCACTGATCACCAAGAGGCAGACGCTCAACGCAGGAGCTGCCTCCTGGTGGTCAGTGCGCTCCCACAGCCAACCTCCCACAGTCCCTCCCCCTGGACTGGGCGAGGCGGCCCTGATCGCCAGCCAGGACGAGGGACTCCACCCTTGCACAAATTCGTGCACCGGGCCTCGTGAGTGTGAGTGTGAGTGTGTGTGTGTGTGTGTGTGTGTAACATTACGAGAGTACCAAACAATTATATATTCTGAGAAAATAATATTTAACCTTTTAAAAAATCAGGTTAATAATAATAATGTGTTGAAATTAACTACCTGTGATCAAAATCAATGGATATAATAAATTCTTAAAATAATTTAAAATACAAAGAAGGTACTCTACCTGTTGATATGATGTTGTGTAAACCATAACATTTTGTTGTTGACCATCTGCAGTTATTAAGCCAGCTGGTAACTGGTTAGCTAAAAGACCAAAAAAAAGTTAAAGTGAGAAAAGAATTGCATCTACTTTCTTGGTCTGAACTGTAAAAATGTGCCATTAACATCTCTCATAATTCTGCTGTTTATCAATGTAATCTTGGGCCAAAGCATAACCCCCAAATATTCCATTTTAAAAAAGCTCCTAAAGCATTTTTGATTTTCTGAATCTTCATTTCTCTGAACTGTACTTTAGCTAACTACCCATGTGGACAAACCTGCAGAAATGAGTTTCTGAGTCAGGAGTAGACCTACACCATGAGGGTTGGCTGGAAGCAACACTCACATACCTAAGCAGCATATATTTTATATATAAGAAATCATATGAAGTTTATATGAGAAATATAAAATATTTACATATAAAGTTTATATGAGAAATATAATCACCATAGACCTTTTATTTCACCATATAACAATATGATAATTAAAAAAATAAATCAGTTCTAATTTATTTAAATCACAAGATTTTTATATTGCAAACTACAGTTCTCAGCATTCCTATCTCACGTGAATCTTAAATGAAAAAATAAGGGCTATGGCAGTCAGTTGAACTACTGGTGAAAGATTATAATGTCTGCAAAATTTAAATTTTATACTTATCCCTCACTGACTTCAAATATACGGGCATCAACTAAGAAGGACTATTCAAGACAGTGCTATGTCAAAACACTCAGTGCTGATATTCCTAAAGTACCACCACTGACATTAAATTACATTAAATTTAGTTGTATAAACGTATAACAACACTGCTTACTAAATGCCTCTTCTGTTAGTTCTTCACTTAGTCCATCTGCAGTTGTGACTGCTCCACCAATTCCTTTCTCCCCTTTCATTGCCTGGGGGAGGAGAACCAAAAAAGTAATCACTGCTATTCAAAAGAAACAGTTTTCTAAACAACAATGCTTGATTAATTCCTAAAGTTAGGAGCTTCTCTTTTTACAAACACTACACAGAGTATTTAACAACACTTCTGGTTAATTACATATGAAGAAGTCTTTAAATGCTAAAACTTTTTTTTTTTTTTAATATATTTTTTATTGATTTTTTACAGAGAGGAAGGGGAGGGATAGAGAGCTAGAAACATCGATGAGAGAGAAACATCGATCAGCTGCCTCCTGCACACCCCCCACTGGGAATGTGCCTGCAACCAAGGTACATGCCCTTGACCGGAATCGAACCCGGGACTCCTGAGTCCGCAGGCCGACGCTCTATCCACCAAGCCAAACCAGTTAGGGCGCTAAAACTTTTTATACAAGTAGTAATCATCAAAAGATAGTCTTAATAATGACCTAGAAAATCTAAATTATTTATGGGTAAAATTAAATAAATTATTCTAATTCCACACTACATCAAAAGGAAAATAGAACTCTACTTACAGATGATATAGTCTATAAAATAGTATAAATATTCAGCTTATGAATCTACTACAAATGACCCAAGTTATCAATTACATATACACTTTCAGCCAACTGGGCAGTACTGTAACAGCAAATTTAAAGTTTACTTTTTTTTTAAGAACAACAAACACCTTTATTACATGAACTAAGATAAGAAGGAGGGTTTATTTGCCTTTCTGGGCCTTGATTTTCCTCAGATAGATGGAGCTTAAAATTTCTAAATCAAAATTACAGTTTGGACCAAAGACCTCTAAGTTATCTTCCATTCTAAGGTCCCATGATGCTAAAGATTTGGAAGAATACTGTGAAGAATTTACATATTTCTTCCTACTTTAATCATTCCATAAAGTTATCACGAATTTAATGGTATCCTAACACTAAAGATACTAAGAAAATATTTTGAAAGCAAAGTGAATCATATACCCAACTTGCAGTGCAGAAATAAATATGCCGATTTTAACTCATTTTCATAAAATTCACAGGCAATGATTAATAACAATACCCGCACACACTGACATTACTGAGCACTCACTGTATGCCCAGCTAAATGCAGTCATAGGCTGTGCCACCTGGCCCTCTCCATATGCTGGGAGGCAGGGACTATTATTACCTCACCTTACAGATCAGGAAACCAAGGCTTAACGTGCTTAAATAAGCTGCCACGGGTCACATAGTTTACATGTGGTGGAGCTGGGATTCACCCTTCAGAGTCCACGATCTTAATCATTACGTAACTATGCTGTCGTTAGTAATAACCAAAGGAAAAAGAAAGGACTTGCTACTTAAGTACAGTAACATAAGTGATGACACACATCTGACAAATGTTATGTAGTTTGCTATAAAATGAATTTTTAAGCAATACATTTTACAAGTTAGTGAATAGTGTATCTTATTTTCTTAGAAGCATAATGGAAGACATTTTACTCACCTCTCTGAATTTCTGAAGGTATAATTTTAGAGGTTCTACATAACTGTCAAAGCCTAAGGTGGACATGGCAAAGAGGATATCTTCGCCATTGATTGTCTTCCGTTTCTCTTGATGGCATCTTTCACTGGCCTCCGATGTTATAAAGCTGATGAACTCACTCACACATTCCTGAACACATTCTTTGGCATCTTTCGCAATCTGAAGAGAAAAATGAAAGGTAAATTTGCAGGGAATATAATCATCACCTTCCTAACAATGTGCAAAAGTGAAAGCTATTCAGAATAATACAAACTTCAGTTTATGACTAAACCTTTAATCTTTGAAATATATGCTAATAACATAAACACAATTTGTACTATTAAAATTCCACCCTCAGAGTGAAAATTAAAAACTCAAATACAAGTCAGAGAAGCCTTGACAACTATTCACAGAAAACAGATATAATCTATAATAATAAAAGCGTAATATGCTAATTAGACTGGACAACCTTCGGGATGAAGCTGGGGCTGCAAGGGAAGCCCAGGTCCTGGGTGCCAGCGAGAAGCTGGTATCGGCAGCTGGGGGAAGGAAGGCCTGCTCTTGCATGAATTTCGTGCATCGGGCTCTAGTTTAGTTATAAAAGCAACCACTGGATGTCCCTTCCATCCCAAGATAAAAACCCTTACTAATGAGTGTCCCAAGAAAACCAGGTTGTGTGTAGATAGTATACTGTGGGCTACAGACTTCGGTACCAGTTCTGCGCTCTACCATTTCTAAGAATAACGGCACCAAAATTTTGAAAAACAAACACTGAAGTCACATAAGACTTACAAGGGAATGAAAGAATGACACCTGGTGACATTTTTTCTACTGAAGATACAAAGTGTCAGGCATAGGTTTTGAGTTTATTAAAAAGCCTACCCAGCCCTTGCTGGTTGCGCAGTGGTTAGAGTGCTGGCCCAACTGAAGGGTGGGCTCGATTCCAGTCAAGGACATGTACACCTCTGTTGCAGGCTCGATCCCCGGCCCAGGTTGGGGCACATGCAGGAGGCAAGCAATCCATATGTCTCTCTCACTTCGATGTTTCTCTGTTTCTCTCTCTCTCTCTCTCTCCCTCTGCCTTCCACTCTCTCTTAAAAAAAAAAATATCAATGGAAAAAATATCCTCTGGTAAGGATTAACAACAAAAAAGCCTACCTAAAGAAGCACACACCCACCACCTCATAGAAACCATTCTCTTAAGGGCCTGGGGTTTGAAAGGAAGACTCTAATGGACTAAATTATGCAATTCCAAAGCCACTCTAATAGGAATGACACTCAAAATCCTTGCTAAAACATACTATCTTTCATCTCCATACCTAAACAGCATCCTGGAGAAAAGTAAACGAATTTCATAAATGCAGTCAAGCAAGATAATATAATGTGAGCTGTATATATAACTTTAGATAGCTAGTAGCCACATTAAAAGAAACAGGTAAGTTAATTTTACATGTTTTATTTAACCCAATAAACCTAAAATATTATTTAAACACAGGATCAATTTAAAAATTGAGGTATTTTCATTCTTTTTTTCATACAAACTTCTAAAACCTGGTCTATGTTTTACATTTCAAGTGCATCTCAATTAGCTCAGTAACATTTCAAGTGCTCAATAACCATTTGTAGCTATGGGTACTGGACAGCAGTGCAGGCCTAGCCTCAGCAATAATAAGCAGTTGTGCTTTTCCCCCTTAAAATATAAAGAGACCCAGCAGGCATGAGTCAGGAGTTGAGCCTTGGAGCCCATGGTTCAATTCCCAGCCAGGGCACATGCCCAGGTTGCAGGCTCGATCCCCAGTGGGGGATGTATAGAAGCAGCCAATCAATGGTTTTCCTTTATCATTGGTGTTTCTATCACTCCCTCTCCCTTCCTCTCTGAAATCAATAAAAAAATATATTTAAACAAACAAACAAACATAAAGAGGACCTCTCAAACTGGAACTTCTAGGCTGAGTGATATATTTTATTAATATATTTATTTAAAAGCTTTATTACGTTCACGTATACTTTATAAGCTATAATAAAATGACAGAAGTTTATTATGCAATATAAAACATAAAAAGTGTGAATTTTATTTGAGACCAAGTGGTGAGTACAGTGACGAATTTTTAAAATTGTTCTAACAAAACTACTTAAAAAATTACCAGTTGAATTTAAATGTATGTTAAGATCTATAATTTTATAAAAAAGTTGTTTCACACTGGCCAGGTGGTTCAGTTGGTTGGAGTATCGTCCTGTACACCAAAAGGTTGTGGGTTCAATTCCCAGTTAGGACACATGCCCAGGTTGCGGGTTCAATCCCAATCGGGGCAAGTATAGGAGTCAACCATGAGAGGTTCTCTCTCACATCAATGTTTCTTTCTCTCTCTGTCTCTCTCTAAAACAGCGGTCGCCAACCGGTAGTCTGCAGACCACTGGTGGTCCATGAGGTCCGACTGCTGCTCTAAAAATCAATTTTAAAAAATGTTCTCTCGGGTAAAATGACAAAAACATAAAAAACAAAATAGTTGTTTCCAAATAAAAGGATTTTTTAAAAATATATTTTATTGATTTTAGAGAGGAAGGGAGAGGGAGAGAGAGATAGAAACATCAATGATGAGAGAAAATCGTTGATTGGCTGTCTCCTGTACACCCCCTACTGGGGATCGAGTCCACAACCCAGGCATGTGCCCTTGTCTGGAATCGAACCTGAGACCCTTCAGTCCACAGGCTGACACTCCATTGAGCCAAACCAGCTAGGGCATAAAAGGGTTTTTAAAAAATCCTTGTAATACATGTATCAGTCCAATATGACCCAATTTTGCTGTCACATTATGGAAGTTACCTCATATGCCCAAACCCGATAGCTCTGACAATACACCTATTTTTTTTAAAGTTTCTTATATTTCATCTGCTTATAATAGGTGGGAGAAGGAGCACATTTTGGGGACATGATAGAACTGAAAATGGAATGTTGTTCAGTAACTAAGTATTAGAATTGAAAGAAATACTTGATTTGCTGAAGGACTGAAATCAATAACTAACTGTAGTCATGAACTATGTTCACGTAGTTTTACATCCCACCCCACCCCATCCCCAAAATATCCTAGTTAAGCTTCTCCTCTACATTACCTTTCCCGTCTGAGGTATGGCATTTTTCATTATCCTTGCCACATTTGCAATTGGAAGATATATATCTTGTTCTCTGAAACTTTCTTTTGAACCATTTGTGTCTTCATGATCATTCATGCTGTCCTCAGTATCTAAAGAAATAAAAGTAATTTAGTTTAAGGCTTCTCATAAGTTTTACTTCAAGGTAGAGAAGACTGTCTATAGCAATCTAGGATGAGAGCCATTCTGGCTCATTTCCTAACCCTTTTTAGGGGTTGGGATATAGTAGTTTTTTTTCACCACTTTCTCAGGGCCAGAACGAAACCCACTCCTTAATTTCAAACCTACTGTCTAGAACACTTTGGTCCTCAACTCTCCTACTCAAATCCTACCTACTCATTCTCCAAGAGCTCAGTAACAACCTCGCACAGCACTTCAGAAGTGAGCTCTGCTTTCACAAAACATCACAAGTGCCTCTCTGCATCTTTTCTGACACACTGTATGATTCTTTTTATTTCTGACTAGAGGCCCGGTGCAAGAAATTGGCCCTCTCGCAGTCCAGGAGCCCTTGGGGGATGTCCGACTGACGGCTTCTGACTGCCATCAGTTGGATATCCTTAGCACTGCCGCGGAGGCGGAAGTGAACCCGGCTCAGGGTTTCTGGCTGGGCGGCGCTCCCCCTGTGGGAGCGCACTGACCACCAGGGGGCATCCTGCATTGAGCATTTGCCCCCTGGTGGTCAGTGTACATCATAGTGACCGGTCATTCCACCGTTCGGTCGATTTGCATATTAGCCTTTTATTATATAGGATTCCTTCTATTAGATTTTTTTCTACTTGAGACCAGGGGTCAGCTTTGTCTCTTTCCTAGCACTTGGTAGCACCTATAACAAAAGAAGTGCTCATAAATGTGTCTCATGACTGAGCTATAAAACTTACAGACCCTGACCTATGATGATGGCTCCTTGACTATTGCTAGATTAAGAGCTTATATGTCTACCCAAAGCCAAATTTACCTACAAAGGGAAAATTGGACTTGAATATTACTGATCTAATTGGTTTATTACAAATGTAGTTATAGTTTTGAACAAAGCTATAGCAGTGATTCAATGTTATTACAAAAAGTGAATTTTCAAATTATGTAGACTTAGATATAACTGAAGCTTTCACAGTACCAATAATACCCTTTGATGATTAAATGCATTATCTTGTAAGGAAACTTCCCACTCTTTATATGAATTAAATAGGAAAGTCACTTAAGCTGATTCAGTATACATTTTCATGTGTTTAAAAGGATGTTGTCAAAATTAACTTGTTTAAGTATGTTTTAGGATGAAGTAACTAATTGCCTCCTCTAATTGTCTTCTACAAAAATGTATCTTAATGTTTTTAATCTTACAAATCAGAATGCCACAAAACCAAATTATTTCTGATAGGCGAATTTTAATACCTGCAAACTCAAACTTAATATTGAAGGAAAAACAAAAATCTGTTTATAAGTACTAAAAATAATAGCTAGCAACTCACCCTCTAAAGAACTTTTTATTGTTCCAATTGAGTAAGAATTTTTTATATTTCATTCTCAAATAGGAAATCAGTAACAAATTTTTAAAGAAACTTTAAAAGGTATACTCTTACAGAATTCTTTTCTATAACTCATCACTCTTTGAAGACTGTTGCTAAATAAAGTAGCACAGTACATCTTTATACACTTTCAATGAATGGTGATGCAAGATTGCTAATTTTCCTATAAAGACAAAAGTAGCCTATAGCATCATATTAACAAAATTCCCACTTCCTAATTTGCTTCTACTTGTGAAGCTGTTCTGACTGTGGCTCTTACCATCATGAGGCTGTATAACATAGTGACTTCCTCCAATATAGTCTGCAGAAATTCCTAATTGAGAAGCATCTGTTGTAGAACTGTCACCATCCATCTAGGAAGAAAAAGTGTTTCAACCTTCTTCAGTAAAACTTGTGTAAAAAACATAACAGAGTCAGTGCTCATGGAATATCATAGGACAGGTCAACTACATTTTTCATAGCTTAAGCTTACTAAAAGAAAACATTTCTCTTTCTTGATTTGGAAACCTTTTGATAATTTGCCAACTATCCAAGAGTTCCCTACCATCCTCCATAAGTGAAAACATAAGACCAACAGGGAAACAAAATAAGGAAATGAATCTAAAACACACATCTCTTTATTTTCAACTGCATAACCCTGAAATATAGTATAGACATCTCTGATTTATAACCTAACTTACCCCTGGATTAAGCAAAACCAAAATTAGTAGTCTCCTAAAAGCCACCTGCGTGCGGCACGTTCGGCTCGCCTGCTGAAGCCTAATATTCCTAGGAAAACCTCTGGTTCCTCTGCAAACTTCCTTTGTGGTCTCACCAAGTTCCACAATAGACAATGTCTTGATTCAAACTGTTGTCTGGGATAAGAAGTATGTGAATTCCTTGCACAATCCGTACCCATGTAACCAAGCATGCACCCACATTTTGAATGAGCCCATCAGCCTCTAATTCTAGCCAAAGGTTCATTTTCTCTTTCCCCTACCCTCAAACTTTTGATTCTTTAAAGAAAAAAAAAAAGGAGGGGTCAAGGAGACTGGAGTTCTGCATATAAGGGTAGGAAAATTATAACCACAGACGAGAGTGAGAGTTAAAATGGCTATTTGAAAAGATGCCTGCTTAATTAATTTTGGTCAGAGCTAAAAGAACTTTAAGAGGGGAAAAATCTGGAAAAAAACAGAACCTTTAGTTTTAAACTACTACACTTTACTTCACCAACATGACAAACCCTGGAAGTCTTTCGGCTTTGCAGGTAATACTTAAAAAGAGAGAGAAAAAACAACAACAAAAACAAAAAACAAGGGACTGGCTAGTTGTGGGTAGAAAATTTGTAATGCATTATCTGAATAAACAGTATAGCAAAATTTAAGTGGAATATATACATGCTTTCAGGCCAAATCAAGAGACACTTGATCCTAAATATTAATCAAGCCCAGAACCCAGCTATTTGAGATAGGGAAGGTGATATTATTTCCATTTTATATAGAAATACATTTAACCAATAGGGATTCCTGTTTTCAGAGATCAGTAGAAAAGGCAGAGTCATAACTCACTGACTGTGTATCACTTCTTAGAGGCCCTGGCTGGGTAGCTCAGTTAGAGTACTGTCCTGATACGCCAAGGTTGTGGTCAGGGCCCATACAAGAAACAACCAATGAATGCATAAATAAGTGGAACAACAAATTGCTGTCTCTCTCTAAAATCAATCAATCAATCAAATATTTTTTTAAAGTATGAGTAAATAGGTACCCTGTACTTTCACAAATTATGAAAGGTATGTGAATTCTGTTCTCTATCCCCTAAAAAAACTATGTAAATTATGGAAATATATCTGTATTTCCAATTACATTAGATACCGCAATCAACAGATGTATCAAATAAATGCCTTGTTACTGAAGACTTTGTAAAGTCCAACAGAGATGGAAAGAAGTATTAGACAAGGACACAAATACTGCAGTTAATATAAATGCATGGGAAACATTACCCAAATATAAAATACTGTATTGATCCTAAAATACAAACAAGATACTAGGAGAGTAGTCTTTAATAGACAGACATGATGATAGGTTTTATTAGCCATAAAAAAGCTCAATTAGAATAAATGTGAATTGACTAGTTTTTACAATGCCCTAGGGGAGATCACGGTGCAGGAGACAGGACCAGTGGTTGTTTCAGAACAAACAACTGAAAACAACTCTTTTTAATAGGGGAGAAAATAACCACAGTAAAAAATTCTTTCCAAAATGAATATCCACAGGATCCCATGAGTCTTTTTAAATTAGCTGATCTGCAGGACACTGTTCAAATAACTAGGATCTGAGAGATTAATTTATAAATATAACATAACAAGTATTGAAGGCAAACGTTAAAAATCGCAGTATCTTGTCATGCACTGGAATTAAGCAGCAAGATCATCATTTGGATTAGCCTCTAAACCTCAGCTTTTAAAAAATGCTTCTGACAGTATTTTGGAGTTGTCAGAATTAAACAAAGAACAGAAACCTGCTAAGGACAGTGTTTGGCACTGAGCACTCAGGAGACATCAGCTATCACCTCCCCTTCTTTGAAGATAAGCCTCCCAGCCATCACGGGCTTAGCTGTGTCTCTGGTTCCGCAAGTTTTAGCTTCCCTGTCCTTTCACCATACCTCCTGTCTTCCTCCCATACTTTAAACCCAGTGTTCCCCCATCCTCCTGAAATCTTTTGGGTTTACTCCATTCTGCAAGCCAAAACTTAGTGTTCCCTTCTCTGAATCCCCAAAGCACTTACACCTTTCATTCAACAAATGAATGAGCACATCAACAAATTAGCCTCTTTAATGCTTACAATATGCTACCTGCATATTGGGAGAGACGGAACTTGCTACATCCCAAAGATTTCTTTCTAGGTCTAAAATATCCTATAAATATTTCTAAAAATAGATTATCAATTGTAAGCAAGCCAGTCAACAAACATTTACCAAGTAAACACTTAGTACTTATCAGGTCCCTGCTATGTGGGAAAGCAGTCACCAGCACAGACAAGTCTCTGTCCTCATCTAGCAGAGAAGACACGTTACGCAAACTGGGGGCATGGGGAAGGGGTGGTAAGCATAGCCTATCAGTACTTCCAAGGAATGTGCTGGAATTGGATCACCTGGTTTGAATTCCCTACAACTTGCTGGTCATGAGACCTGGAGCAAGTAGGATGAGAATAGAACTTGCCATGTAAAGACAGCATTGTACAATAGGAGCTATTAAATAATTACAAATGATTAACTGTTAGTGCTAAGGAAAACAAAGATGTTTTGTTGTATGTTTGGGGAGTTTTTCCCGAAAGGGACCTCATAGTCCGAGAGTCAAGGAAGGCTGTGTTAGGAAATCACATTTAAACTGAGACTAAAAGATGAATAGAAATCAGGCAGGGAAAGATGGGAAAAGAATGTTCCAAACAAAGAAAAGAGGGAAATATAGTCCTGGTGGATTACAGCAAGCTCAGTGGGGGCTAGATCAAGCAGTGCAGTGGACAAGAGCAAAGGGGGCAAATCAGATTTCTTTTTTAAAAGACCACTCGGGCTACAGTCCAGTGTAACAATGAACTGAGGGGGGCTAGGACAGGGGCAGACCAGCAAGGACCACAGTGCTGCAATCAGGGCAGGAACTCAGGCAAGATGATGGTCACTCCAGTATCTGGAGACTGGAGAGAGCAGAGGCTGAAGAGATGTTAGCAGTAGGTAAAAGCAGCAGCAGATCTGACCGAACCAGAGCTGGAGGAAGAACCAAGGATAATGCTGGGATTCTCGCAGCTGGGCAGACGATGCCACTGCTGCAGAGAACGGGAAGGAAGAGCCTGGCTGAAGTTGGTGACCAAGAATGTATAAGTGGTACCAGGATGCCCACTTGTGACACTTACTGGTGAAGGACAGGGAACAGGGGGAAGAGCAGGTAGGAAAATGACAAGAGAACGGGTAAAACGATGAATCATTAGGATCAAGGGAACTGGTAGGAATAGAGTAGTGAAATCCCACTGAATTCCTTTAGTGACGATTGTTGAAAATAGTATTCTCTAAAATATGTGATGTTAATGGTCAGTTGGCTAAGAAATGCACCTGGTTTCGGATTCATCTTACCAGGAGGCATGATGGACCAGTGGCTCTTAGAACAGACCACCTGGGTTTGAAGCTGAGCTCCCGCTTCGTAGCTGTATGTCTTTCCGTTCCATCCTCTTTGTGCTTCAGCGTCCCCATTTAAATGGGGTTGCTGTGAGAGGTGAAGTTATTGTGCCTTTTAGCACTTAGCAAAGAGCACCATATGTAGGAAGAACTGGACAAATGAAACCTTCTATGACGACTGTCCCTTCAAATGCAGTTCTCATCATCTTTCCAGGCATGAAGAGTGGGTCCCTCACTTAACCTAACTAATCTTGTTTTCATTTCTTATAATCTGATAAAAAAAAATCTTAGTGCTAGAACGTGCCTTTCTAAGGATCACCAGATGCAGCTCTTTTAATTTAGCAGTGAGGCAATCACTGCTCAAGGCCTGATGTCACAGATATAGTAGCAGATCCAGGACTAAGTATCCAGACAGGCCAAGGGGAATCTCGTCACTCGATTATCCTGTGAAATCCCCCCTTGGACCATGCAGATGTACTCTCCATTCCCTAAACATAAGTTACTCGCCTTCAGGCTTCTGCATTTGGCAATACCCCCCACCTATCCAAATCCCATTCAACCTTCAAAGCTCATTTGGAGGCCTACAAGCTCCCTCCATGACACTCCCACTACCCAGGCCTACCCACCTCTCGTCTTTTCATTTGTACTGTCCTTATTTAGAGCCAGCATTTTCCATTCCACTCATAACTGTTCTTTGAAGTACTCAATTCGACTAAAGCCTGACCAGATAAACAGACAGGCTCTTAAGAGCCGGGACAAGCTTTGTATCCTGTAGCTCTCTGACAGCCCTTTGGGGGGCCCACAGCAAACACTATAGACCAAGTCACTAAAAAGAAGGAAGCTTTGGGAATGAATAGTGGTACTGTCTGTCTAGACTTGAAAGGCATTCATCCTATAAGGAATCTCCAATATAAAATCAGTTGTAATTTCCAGCTAATTACTATGCAAATCTAATTAACAACCAAAATGGTAAAGCATACTTACTGTCATGAAATACTGTCAGAACGGTGTTGTCAGTGGTGTTCAAGAACACCCTTCCAAACCGGTGCCTAATATTTGCCCAATTTCAACCTGGAATATAAACATGTATCAGTAGGAAAAATGTATAGCCTACAGGCTTTCTTGTTTATAAAATTTTAAAAGGCAGGTATAATTTTACCTACAATTCTTATTCAATGGAGTGCATGGTGTAAAACGGTGCAAAAAGCAGGCACCCAATAAATGTTTGTTAAATTGGAAGGTTTATTTTGGAGAACTCAAATTTTAAAAGTTGATTCTATTGAAGAGGGGATTGTCTTTCCAACATAACTCTCAGTTTAGTCATGCTCACCATATTCATCACAACACACCAAATTATATAATATGCAAGAGACAAAAAATTACACATCTAAACTACTTAAAATATTAACAGCCAAGACACAATATCGACTTAATTTGGAGATGGTTTTCTTAATGTTTTAGAATGAGATTCAGGGGCCCAAAAGGGGAGAAAATTTTATCTCAGAATATAATGCTTTAAAATTAAATATCTCAGATTATACTGGAAAGATACATGCTATCCAGAGAACATACATAGAACAACACAATCAATTAAGACCTCTATTTATAATTTTAAAGCACCACCAATCTGGACTAAAATTGCATCTGAATAGCTCTTCATTCTCACTGTAAATAGCTGAATAAATTGGTATCAATTACTAATGCTACAATCTCCATTTCTCATTTGTTCTTTTCCTTTTTTCAAGTGAAACAATTAGAGGAGAGGTGTCAAAACAAAAACATCCTTTCAGTGTTAATTTTAAGGGAAGAAAAATAATAGGCATTCCAGCATGAAATCTAGTAAACAGCAGGAAAAGATTGTAGCCACTGAAATTGAATTTTCAAAAAGCCATTACAAGGGTAGAGGCAGCAAAGACAGGCTGACATTGTCTGCTGTACTCGTAAAAGCAATTTTTAATTTCTTTTCAAATATTGTCCTCTTTTTAACCCCAACATTGCCCAAAAAATTATTTCCTGTAACTAGAAGTGTTATTTTTTTTAAGGGTGTCTTTGGGGGGAAGGGGGAAATCCTCACAACACTTAAAATATAAGATATATATAGATATATAGATATTTGTGTATTTTGCTTGGGGGTGGGGGCGGGGGTGGGAGTGGGGTTGGTCTACCCCTCACACCACACTCACCCAAATAGTTGAGTATTTAGATTCAGTAAATTAAAGAAAAACGTTCTCACCCCATATGGCATATATATTTTAAAGACAGGTTATGATATATATGAAAGCTCAAGGGAATGCGTACATCTGTTTAATGTTTGAAGAAATGCAAATGATATCCAAGAAAAGCGGCAGACCCCTCCTCCGCCCTCCCGTCTTCGGCATCAACCACCGGAGTTTTGCATCAATAAAAGTCCTTAAATTGAGCTCCAAGAGCAGGGATAACTGAACTGCCTTTGAGGGGATTCTGGTTGAACTTGCAATACTTTGCAAATAGAGCCCCCACTTGTGAATGCCACTCGCACCGACGGGCTCACCCCCTCCCTTCCCGCCGCCGACTCGTTTGCATACGGAGCCCAAGCCACCCGCTGACCAGCGACTCGCGCGCGGCCCACGGACGGTGAAGTCCAAGGTGAGTGGGATGCGCTGTGTTTGGTTTGTTTTGAAAGGTCGCGCCCTACCTGAGCTAAGTCACCCCGCTAGAGGACTTTGGGGGAGACTGCGACTGGTGGGTGTTCTGTACTGCTTTGTTCTCGGAGACCAGTGCTCCGAGGGCCCGACACAGCCTCCCGCCTCCCCCGCGAGGTTCCACCTGAGTCCCACCTTCGGGGCCAGTCCCCGGACCGCAAGCCGCCAGATGGCTGCCTCCTTCCCGTGCAAACCCGACTGCGGGGCGACCGGATCCATTCCTTCCTCCCGGGGCCTCGCTTCCTCCCCACGACGGTGCGCGGGCGGACCCTGCACCCCAGCCGCCAAACTGTCAGTCCCGCCGGTGCGGGGCGGCCGCTCCCGCTCCCGCTCCCGCTCCCGCCGCGCATCCCCCCGGCCCGCCGGCCCAGGCCCGGGCCCGCGCCCAACGCCCGCCCGCCCGCCCGCCCGCCCGCCGCGCGGGGCCCCGGTGCGGGGCAGACAAAGCGGCCCGACCCGCATGCCCCACGGACGGCAGAGGGGCGCTCCCCGGGGACCCCCGCGCGGCTGCCGGCCAAGAGGGCAGGGTCCGGGCAGGGGTCCGAACCGCGTCCCCTCCGCCCCCGGCCCGCTCCCCGCACAAAATGGAGCCGGCGGGGCCCCGCCGAGAGGGGGGCCGACGGCGCCCGGAGCCCCTGGCTCGGCGTCCGGCCGGAGCTTCGCGGCGGCGGGCGGGAGGCGCCCTGGCCCGCGTCCCGCCGCTCGCAGCCCGGCGCACAAAGACCGCGCCGCGGCCCGGCGCCCGCTCCCCGGCCGGGCCCGCAGTGGGAGCGGCCTCGCAGGCGCCGAGCCGGCCCCGGCCCGGGCGGGAGGGCGGGCGGGCGGGAGAGAGGCGAGTGCCCCCGGCCGCGGCGGCGTTGGCGGCGGGGACGGCGCCGGGAGGAGACGGACATTTCATTCGAGCTAAAGTGGAGTCGGTTTAGGAGCGATCATTGGCCGAAGCGAGACACAAACCTCCAATGCAGCCCTGGTTGGCTCCCGTCTCCAATCGGCTGTTTGGTTGGACAGAAAATGGCTGCGAAGGAACCAGTCCCAGCGCGGAGCTCCGCTTCCAGCACTCGGCCTCCCCTCCCTCCGCCGCGGGCCGCTTCCCTCCGCCCGACACCCTCCCTCCGCGCCTCCCGCGCGCCCGCCCGCCCTCCGCGGCCCCGCCCCGGCCCCTCCTCGTGCGCCGAGCAGCCGCCCCTGCGCGCGCTGGCGGAGCGGGCTGCACGCCGCGGGGTGCGGGTCTGGGGGGCCCCGCGGTCTATTGGCCGAGCCCGGGGCTTCCAGGGGCCGGGATCTGGGGCGCTGCTGAGGTCTGTAAGGCTTTCTTCCCACGGTGTCTCCCCGGGCCCCTGCGAAGCGGGGGATCTCGGGCTTCCCCTTTTCAGCCCCCACCCTCTCGCACGTGGAGCTGTCACACCTGCCTGGGTGCCGCCGGCCTGCGCCTCGCTCTTTAAGAAGGGGAGACCAAGGGCAGGAGCCGCGGGCCAGGGCGACACCCGAGCCGCCGGGTGGATTTGAACGGCAGTTACCTCCTGGACCGCCTTCAGCACCTCGTGTTTTCCTTGTGTCCTTGTTCCCGTTGCCAAATGCACAGCGTTCCCTCTGACTCGGGCACTGAGCTATGGTGGTCGCTTTTCTTCGGATTTCACCTAAAAATACAGCCTAGCCAGCCTTCACCCCAACTTAAAAAGTTGCACCCGCCCCTTCCCCCCACCCCCACCCCCCCAATCCCCGTAGTAGTTGCAACTGACAGTGGCTTTTCCCAACCAGATGACATTTGGGCTGCAAGAATCCTTGGCCCGTTCTCTCCTCCGTGCAGCCGAGCGCCCTTGCTGTCTTTCCCCGCCTGCAGTCTGGGTCGGGCTTCCCCCTCCCCGGGCGGCGACCATCACCGATGGGCGCTGAGCCAGAAGCCACTCACTGTAAAAGGGTGGCAGGATTTCTGCAAGGGGAGCCGGGAATCGCCTTCCCTTCGCTTCCACTAAACAAGTGGCATCGTGCCACATTAAACTTTCCAGCTTTAATCATTTAGAAATATACAGGCATGTTTTATTTATAGAGCACCTACTGTTTCTCCACATATTTTAACATTTCTGGAGCAAATAATGAAGCAAAAGACAAGTGAAAGCCTCCAAATTATTCCAGGAGCAGTACGGAGCAATGCCGCCGTGGAGTCAGACAAACTGATTTAAATTCAGGCTCCTAAGGGCTTGTGACCCTGGCCAAACTGCTTTACCTCTGTGTGAGAGTTCCCTCACCTCCACAGTGGGGGGTAATACTAGCTACAGCTTAGGCTTGTTTAGAATGAACATAGAAAGTCCTAAAAAAAAAAAATTGGGCTCATTATCTCAAGATCTTTATATGATATGAATTTTAATATGTATCAAACTTTTTGAAACTGTTATTGGGTAAAAAAAAAAAAAGGAAAATATTAAAATTGGCTTGCATTTCTACCTTCCTTTCTCTATGATTACTTACAAAGGAGTGAAAGGATGTGCTCAAAGGCAGGAAATATAAAAAAGAAGTAGTAGAATCAGGAGAAGTATGACTAATCCACACACTGGGTGATGAACCAAAAGATGCACGGATGACTGTTTTCTCTGAGCTAATGTATTATTTCAGTACTGTTGATCTAATCTATATGCTTAATTCAGATTCAACAAAAAGGTGATTCAGCTCCTACTGTTTACCAGGCAATGTGCTAGGAGCCCCGAGGCTACAAAGGTGAGTAAAGCGCTCTCCTTCCCCTGGTATCTGTTCATTGGAGGAGACTGGAGACCTAGTCCACACCCTCTCTGCTGTTGAACCCCCCAGGTCATCCTGCCTTGACAACCTGTCTTTTTATACCGATATTCAGGAAGCCCTCAATACTAGTAACCTTAACCATTTTTCATGATCAGCTGGTGAAA